CTGGGCAATACACGCAGAGTAAGAAATAGTCTTATTCTCCACTAAGAAGTTTACCAGCATCCTTGGAGCAAAAACCGAAGAATAGCAGAGATCCACAATTGACAAGTTAATGAGGAAGAAGTACATAGGCGTGTGAAGTTGGAGGTCAATCCTGATCAAGCCAATCATTCCAAGATTACCTGCCAGGGTGATGACATAGATTAGTAGGATCACCACAAAGAGCGGAAGCTGTAGTTCTAGGCGAGCCGTCAATCCCAAGAGGATGAAATGGGTCACTGCTGTGTGATTGCTTACTGCCATGCATGCATCTGTAACAGCTTGCATGCTGAGATGAGATGTGTGATGACTATATAGAGAAGAAAGGAAGACAAGGTTGTTTATGAGTGTATTTCACGGAGTAATCCATCGTCAGGTAGGGCAAGGGCTGGGATTAAGTACCTGGATCTTGCTTTCATTTTGTGGGGCTCAAATTTTTCAAAGCTTCCTCAGAAATGCTGATTACATTTTTACCAATCAGACCAGCCTCATGGAGAGATTCTCTGCCCTAGCTGTGAACAAGGCAGTCCCAGAAACAGCACAGCTATAGGAGCAAGGTGCTGAGAGCAGAGCTTATTGATTATCTTGGGGTACAGCAGTGCACATCTGAGACGATACAGCAGCTGAGGCCCAGCTGAAAAATTCAGCATGCTGCTTTGTTGTGCAACACAAACATTCTGGCTGAATTAGAGTTAGTATGTGGATATTTTTAGGTGATGTTAAGTTTGACATGCAGTTAACACTGTTGGCTTTGCAAATACATATGCTAAACACTGAGTGAGTTCTGCATCTTCCTTCACCTTTTCAGCTAGGTATTTTATGTTATTTACTCACTGAGGAAACAGTTAATCTCACCAGAGTTTCTTTGTCCAAAGTGGAGGCTTCTCATCTGAACTCATTGTCTCGTCTCTCTCTTTAGTCTATGAAAGTGCCTATTTCTACGCAGTCACTAGTAGAGGGAGCCCAAATGACTCATGCAGCGCTGTGTCTGAGGCCCAGGCAGGATGTGGCTTTCTTCAAAAGGCACTCTCAGTGGCTGCTTCCTCTCAATATGTCAATGGAAGAAGAGGTGACATTTCACAGTAGCCAACTTTTTAGAACACCAAAGTAGAAAGTGAGAGTTACAGGTCTGGGTCTATTTCCTGGCTGACAGAGCCAGAGCTTTTGCTTTGTAGGGGAGAGTCCATGACTGCAATGGGACAGGAGGCGAGATCTGGTCCCTCTCCTTATGACTTATTCTATATTCTATCCACAAATAACTCATGAAAAATACAAAAATATAACACAAGAAGAATTACCATAACTTAATTTGTAGGCATCTGGGACTCTTGCTAGATTTTGACTCAATATCAGAAAGGAACTTTTTTAGATAGTCAGGCAATTACCATTTACATGTCCAAATCTTTTCTAAACTTCTAAATCAGCTAGGATCCCTCTACGATCAGTACATCAGTCAGCTATTCATCTCACCAATTTCAGATGTGAGCACACCTCAGCTTTTGAAGGGAACGAGCAGCCTAGAAGCCTCCCTCTGAGAAGTCCTGTCTCTTTCAATTAACCATAAAGGCAGCTGAGATGTTTAACTGAGAACCTAAAAAATTAACAGAGAAATCTAAAGCTCTGTGAAATCTATCCCACAGAGGTTGTACACATTTTTGTGTACCACATTTGGTCTAATGGTTGAAGTGTTCTGACCATCTTGCTAATACTACAACTCACTACTTTGTGATTTTGCACAAAGTGAACCAACAGGCAAACTTTTTTGAGCTCTCTGGGCATAAACTGCAGATAGTAATATTGCTTTTCCCATCCTGTTCTTTCCTGTGTATTCAGGCCCTGAAATTTTTTAAAACAGTCTATTGGTTTGTGTTTGTGGTACCCAGAACACGGGCATCATCAATGCCAAACTGACACTTCCGTGCTAATACTATCAAGGACATACCTAGATTTTACAGCTCAGCCGCACTTCAAACACTCTCCAGTCCTGAGCCTCCAAGTGCTCCAACACCGCAGAAGTCTGGATTTCGATCTCATTGACAAAGATGCCATCACAACCTCTGTCCATCCGTACAAAGGGGCCTTCTTCTCTAATTTTCAGCTGTGTCTTCCAGTCTCTTTCATGATCTTGGCTAACTCATGTCTGCAATCTGTAATTTCTCTTTAGTGAAAATATGCAAACAAATGAAATACATGTGGTTGCTCATTGTATTGACATGACAGTGAGAAGTGCGTGAAGACATCAGGGAAGAGATGAAATAATCCTCTTCCCTCCACAGAAAAGAAGAAATATCGTCTCATGCTTGAGTGGCACAGAACAACAGCTCATCCCTCAAACTTGAGATTGTGTCAGGACATGCTACTGCAACCATTCACTAATTCAGCTATTAGGATCTGAACTCTCACAAACAACTGAGCTTTCAGCTAATATTTTCAGATCAAACCCGAAGGACGTCATTAAAGTGTCCTTGCGGGAGCCTTTAAACAGATAAACAGAAGTCTGGTCCCCCACAGCAACGTGCACAAAACGTGTATGTTTACAGTCCTCAGTTACCCAGTTTACAACAAAATTCTCTGCTTTACTAAGACACAGGAAAGGGAAAGAAGCCCCAGGAGTATTCTGTGTACGAACTAGCTGAACATCAGTGTCCCTCTATGTACACAGTCTGTGGGACACTGGAAAATCAGGGTTGAAGAGACACCTAAAAGGAACACAGACATCCTAAGGTAAAAATTCACACATTCAGGGCTATTAAAGAAATTGCTTGCAGTTATTTTTGAGTCAGTCTCCTCTCTCATCCTTCTTTCCCATTGTTTGAGCTGCTGAATATCTTGCATGGAGAGGTGCGGATGCTGTCCCATTCTTTCTGGCTGACTTGTCTGTCGGAGAACAACGGGAGACAAGCACATCCGATGATGATCAACAAGTCTCAGTTTATTCAGAATTATCTTATTACTTATATAACAGAGTTAATTAGCTCATACATATTGCAAAAGCCAAGCTCCTTATAGGTGGATACAGTAGAAGGCTATGAATCTTTTCCCAAGACACTAGTAGCAAGTCATGTACCTTTCCCAGGACACTAGTAGCAAGTCATGTACTTTTCTCAAGACACTAGTATCTACATTATTTTTCTAGTTTCTAAACCAAGGTCCTGCATTCTGTGTCTAACTACATTTAAGCAGGTCTTGTGATCTTGTCGTCATGCCCCTTGTCCCGTAGCCAGTATTCAATAATATCTTCCACACTTGTCCATTAAGTGATCAGGAAGCCATGTTAGAAACTCTGAAAGGCAGGGAATGCTAGCTCAGCTCAAGTGTCTCACCACTCTGGTGGATTGTTTTTCAGACAGGAGTTGGCTAATGTTTGGATGACAGAAATGCACGACTCTCTAATAGCCAGTGATGCAGCTCAGCCCATCCTAAATTAAGGTCTTCGACTGATGGAGAATACATTATGACTGCAGCTGAATATTATACTTGATTGGTTACACATGCCGTTAAAACAAACAAATAGAAATACAAATAACAAAGGCCCAAATAATGAAAAAGATGTCCTCCAAATAGGAGGCATAGAATGTTTTGATGATGCTTCTTACCTAGCTAAAAGTCGCTTAACCTCTTATGTTTACAATGTACATATTTACATGAGTTCGGACCCTGCAGACAACAGAAGGAAAAAAGAGGGAGAGAATATTTGTGAAACAAAACACGAGTCTCATATAGAGGATAGGATGAAAAGTCCTATGATGGCTTGTGTTATTTTCACATTGTTTCTCTCATTCTGGTAAGATTTCATTGCCTCTTTAAAGATCCAGAGACAAAGGCTCAGTAAAGCAGTTGCAAACAGAGAGATGTTTGAAGAGGTCTGCAGGGCCTTTATTCATATCTAGAGCAGAGATCTGTAGCAGCAGAATTCACAAGTCCCAAGAAACAATCTTATTGGGGAAAAAAGGCATTGTATGAAAGACCACGAAAAGACTGAGATAATATTCGTGTTGAAAGTGGTATGCGTTCAAGAAAGAGTGAGCTATAGCACCAAGAATTAAGAAAAAAACAAAAAACTTGAAATTGCACATAAAAGCAGTTCAGTAATTTCATTTCTATATTTTCTTAATCTCTTTTCAAAGGTCTTCAAGAGCAAACTCTCTTTTTTCTGCTTGACTATGCATGCAATCACTACGTGGAACGTATGTGTAACAGGAAGGAATGTTTCTAAGACACTTCAAGCATGGAAAAGTCCTTTAATACCTACGGTTGCAAAGGTGGGGAAGGGAACAGGGGCATTCACTGCCAGGTGTCTCTGAGAGACTCTAATGGATATGTGCTGAAAACCCAGACTTACAATGTACCTAGAAGAGACATCAAGAGGCAAACTTGAACGTAAACCCTGTTTCGTTAGAAGACGCTGCAGTCAAGAGGCACACATATTTCTCATACTCTTTACAGCTCTCAGCAGTAGGTAGCATGAGACCTACAGTAACCTATGCAACAGCTTTAATCCAGTGCCTCTGAATTGAACTTGTTAAGATTCAGTTTGTGAGGTTTCCATGAGCCAAAGCCTGTTTATTTTCCTCACTGAAGCTCTGATGTGTATCTGAGGAACAAAAGTCATAACCATGGTCATCAAAGCATGCACACTGAGCAAAGGACTCTGCCCCATCGGACATGCAGCCTTCCAGAGAAGGTCCTCTGGCACTGCTACCCATGTCATGTGTTTACAGCACAGTGAGCAGTATGTAGTTTCCCCTCTTTATTTTCTTCCTAGATAACTGCAAAGTCACCTTTCAGCTTGCCTGATTGCTATATTTTCAGAGCATATGGAAACACTTTGAATCCTACAAATGGTACTGCCAGTATTAACTCTTGCTTTGCCTAGTCCTAGGGCTACAGGTGGTGGTAACAGCTGTAATCACAAGGAATCTTTAAAGCTTTGACATGAGATTTAAACGTGTAAATTTGGGCAGATGGAAGTGCAGATTTTTGTCTAAGCTGGTTACATTAGATCTTTTGATAGTCAATAGAAAAAATAGGCCTCTTCAGAGGGAAATTGCATCTAGTCTATCTTAAACACCTTTCCTGGGAAGGACTACTCAAACTGTGGGGTGTCTTCATTGGTTAGGGAAATGGGGTACATTTGAGCTAGATATCCAACTTCTAAATATTTAAATTAGGCAGACTGATCCTACATTTGGTGTCCAAAGACTTCAAAGAACTAGTAGGTGACTTCAGACTGCTGTGGTGGAGAGCATATGTGTCATATTGACTAGCCATTTGCTGAAATAAGGCATTAACAACAACAGGACTAATTGCTATATATTTCCATATTTCACATCCTTCAACTAACAACCTTCATGGCACGAATCTTCAATAAGGTTACGTAAAGGATCCAGTATTTGATAACCCATATCAAAGAGAATGGAGTTTGCATAGCTATCCACACTTTCCCTGTAGTTACCCATATGCAGTTCTGGAAGGCTTTCAGCATGTAAAGACCTCCCTCTTCAACAGTTTCCTTGCAGCACATTTCACGTCACTGTTTCTCAAGCTGTAGATCAGGGGGTTCAGCATAGGAATGACCCCTGTGTAGAAAACAGAAACTATTTTATCAGTACTCAGTGAATAGCTGGACCTGGGGCAGAAATACATGAACAGAATTGTGCCATGAAACGTGAACACAGCTGTGAGGTGGGAGGCACAGGTGGAGAAAGTTTTTTGCCTGCCCTTGGCAGAGCGGATCTTCAGCACAGTGACAACGATGAAAAAGTACGAAACAATAACAGCTATAGAAGTGGTTGCCTCAAATAAAGTGCCAAAAATGAAAACAAGGGTATTGTTGAGATTGATATCACTACAGGAGAGTTTTAGGAGAGGGGGGAGATCACAGAAAAAGTGGTTGATGACATTGGAGCTGCAAAACGACAATCTCAACAAGCCATAGGTATGAATCAGAGAATTTACAATACCTCCCAAATATGACCCAGCTATTAACAGTAGGCAGACCTTTTTGGTCATGATGACAGTGTACAGCAATGGGTTACAAATGGCCACATAGCGGTCATATGCCATTGAAGCCAGGAGAAACATCTCAGTGGTGGCAAAAACTGCAAAGAAGCTATACTGTGTAATGCACCCACTGTATGAAACTTCCTGTAACACTGCCAAAAAATTGAGCAGCATATTGGGAGTGACAGTGGAAGAGTAGCAGACATCCAGGAAGGATAAGTTACTGAGGAGAAAGTACATAGGGGTGTGCAGCTGTGGGTCAAACCTAATGACTAAAATCAACCCTAGATTGCCCAGCAGGGTCATCCCATAAATCAATAAAAAGACAACAAAGAGTGGAAGCTGCAGGTCTGGTCTATCAGTTAATCCTGTGAAAATGAAGCTAGTCACCGTGGTATGATTGTCTTCAGACATCAGTTTCACTTAATTGCTGCCTACTGCAATAGAGAAGAAGAGCCCCGTATCAATGTAGGAGATGGATTGTTAGTGTTCACCACCACAGTCTTAAAGCAACTGATTTGCTCCAGTCCTAGCTTTTTCATCTGCAGCAATAAGAAGATATTTCGCTTCTACCTTCCTTTCACTGGTCTCCTTTCTTTCCTTTACTCTTCCATAGCCACCTTTCTCTGACACAAGATAAAGCAACCTCTAGTATTCAAGAAGAGATATTCAAGAAGAATTAGAGAGTAAACCTATCAGAGTCCAAGGAGAGGGTAAATTTCTTGGGAAGTGAAGGCACCTCAAGAAAATCTTTAGCTCACTGTCCAGCTCCATGGCAGAGTTCCATTATACCAGTGGTAGGGAGACTTCACAGCCTCTTCAAGCATGTTTCTTCCCGTAATGCACATTTGAGATGTCTTTCCAAACATAATGACTAATGCTTCCGAAACTGACTGGTGCTTTGAGGTGACCTGACCAGTTCATGAAACTGTAAGTAACAGTCTATTGAAGGGATTCCTTTTTAGGAGGCATCAAGCACTCAATTTTACCCATTTCTTGGAACAACTTTGAAGACATCTTCCCAAATCAGAGGTTTTCAAGTACACCACTTTCTACACAAAGACTGGTTTGATGCATGTGACCGTATCTCATCCAAACTGCTCCGAGTGCCATGCACCTAGCAGCAACTGTATAGGACAGGAAGATTAGAATAAGAAGTCAGACCCAAAACAGTTTCACTAGCAATGCAGAAGACAGTCTGAGAGCAGGTAGAAACTCCTAGGTTCTTTTCCGCTCAGGACGGAGAACCCTATCATTAAGAGCAGCCTAAAACATGCCTTAGTCAAGAAACAAGGCAGTAAATCAGCAGTGTAGTTTTAAATCCATGACTTATCTTTCATGCTAGCTCAGTATTTTTGAAACAGCATATATCAGTCAAAGAAAGAATTAAAAAGCTATAGAGTAATCATTTTTCTTATTTTCAAAGCATCAGAAGAAGAAACCTTATTCATGTTGCTTATGCTTTACTCCTTAAGAAGCCATTTCAGAACTGATGATGCTGTTCTGAGAGACTCCAGTTTGGAGAGCTATTTACATGTGGGTGAAAAGCCTCTCTCCTGACTGCACCTGTCTCAAAGGAAAGCTCCCAGTCTCAGCTCTTTTCTAGGTCAAGAGACAGAGCTCCGTTCCGTCCTAAGATAGGTGCCTAAGATAGATGACATGAAACAATCTTGAAGACGACCATTTCTTCTCATGGAGTAGCACTATAGGGACGGAGTGGAGGAGACCAAGGTGAAGAGAATTATCGAGGCCGATTAGTTTAGACCATTAGCTCCTTACATGTTAGGAGAAATGAACATTGTGTTCTGTTCCTAAAGATTCAATGAGTTCTTACATCCATAAAGCTAGACTCAGGGCTAGGAAAAATTATCTGACATAAGTATTTATGACACAATCTAGACAATCTTAACTAGCATTATTACTAATAACATGCAGATCCTGTGTGTTTTATCTGCATGTATGAAAAGTACCGGCGTTTACACTGAATAAACTATGGGCATGCTTTATCCCCTAATATCCAGGCAGTCTGATCACTTGGACGTTGAAAAGTTCAGTTTTTGAGAACATCCCCTTCCCATCCCTTCCCTCTCCTTCCCACTCTACTGATGTCATTAAAGATTCCAAGAGAAGATTTGTCTTTCACATTCTTTCCTTAAAGCAAAATAAAATAAACTTATTCCACATCAGAAACCAACACTGGCGTAATGTCACTGAAGACTACAGCAAAGAATTGGGTTTGCTTTTACCTATTTTGGGTCATTCTAGGACTGATTCTGCACCTGTGTTAGAGAAAAGTTTATGAGAAAAGAAGTAAACTGATTGATTTCAGAAAAGTTTGGTAACAGAATTTTAACATGGTTGCAGAGGGACTCAGCATTAGGAGGAGGAAAGGGGCTTTGAGACAGAGAGAGAGAGAAATGACACATGGAGTTGAATTGTGATGCTAATTCTATTTCCCGAAGACTTCCAAAATAGCTTGCTCTTGTTCAGAACAGTCCAGGACAATATCAGGAATATATCAGTCCAGGAATATCAGGAAACTCCAAATTTGGTAATTCAAATGGCCAACTGTAGTTTATACTTACTGCTAGGAAACCTTTCTGTTGGAAGAAGGGAAGCAGTCACATTGTGCCTTCAAAGAATCCACATCTTCGAGATGAAAAAAGTGGGGTGATGGAAATGAACTCAAAGCCACATATATACTTTTTGCCTTTCCAGATATCTATAATAACTGGTTAGTACCAATTAATAGTGCTATTTAAAAACAGGTTTTCAGTGTAGAATAATTGCCCTCAGCTGAATTGCCCCAAGAGAAAAGCAATTTATGTTTACAACTGCTTCCGTTATTGTCAAGTGACATAGGAGTCTCTTTGCATAGGCTAGAACTACCCAATGTCACTTGGAAAGCTATACAGCTCATTTATATTTGGTCAGCTGAAGAGCTGGCTAGTCTACAGGCATTATATTGACTAGGTCTCCAGTGAGTACGATGAGATCCTATATGTTTTAGTCACATATAGACACCTACATGTCAAATTCTACATGTATTCTGAGAGCCAAGTGACCCCAAAGTGCCTGATTGTTTCCTAAACATAAGCACTTAGTGCTCTTTTGACCCATGGAGGACTAGGTTAGGAGCCTGAGCGCTAGCATTCTAAGACTAAATTTACCATTTAGGCTTCCCCTGTAAAAAAAGGGGCTGGGGCCCCCTGAACAGTCTGATTCATTCTACCTTCCTGAAATACTAGCTTAGAATGAGATTACTAGTTTGAGGAATATTCTGGCATTGCAAGAGCAATGTAATTAGAGCAGAAACTAATATGACATCTGTGTGGGCCTGTTCTCTTTCTTTGCTTGCTTTTCTCTATATCTCCATTTACATATTAGCTGGATTTATAGTGGTTTACAGCACATCTCTCCTTTGCAGGGCTGTGCTGAGAAGAATTTATTTACAATCTTGATGTCCTCTAACTCTCTTCCTACCAGGTAAGTATAAAGGGCAGAGGAGAATTTGATCTGTATTGCATTAAACAGGAAAGTGACTCATCAGTAAGAATATCTCCACCAAGGCTCATTCATGTTAGACCAAGTAGTGACCTCGTAATAGAGAAGTCATACCAGATGGTATAGACTAGTCGTTCAAATCGCCTCATTGACGATGACCGTTTTTACAGATGGTTCAGCTAAAGTTTCTCAGAAACCTGTAACTCTGCACTGACTGTAGAGAGACTAGGAGACTTTTTCAGAGTGGATACCTAATTCTACATGTCTTGAATGGGGTTTGTTTCACTATCGGTCTACAATGTAGACATCTGCATTTGATCAAGTGACCCCTACGCTGACTTTCTAGGCAATGGAGAAAAAATAGGCATTTCTACAGCATGATATGTTTAGTGTATTATACAGGTCTATATCAGCTACAAGTGAGTCGTGCCCTTAAAAATATTTGTTTTTTCTCTATTGACTCTAAAGGGACCCCTGGAAGATCAGATCAGATGTAGATGTCTACTTTTTAAGATTTCATATTTACCAATGAAAACTTTCTATTACATCTAAGTGAGACAAATTGCATATTTAAAACTAAAGTCAGGCAGCATCACTGTCACGGACTTTGTTTTAATGTATGTCTCCTTTCATCATCTATACTTCCTTGGTATGGAGGCCTGTGTTGCTCACATTTGTAGAACAGGGCAAGATATGTTATCTCAAATATCCAGTCATGTGATTAAGTTTGACACCTGATAAGAGTCCTAAGCCCTCTGTTGATTCCCTCTGAGGAGCCATAAGCACTGATAGTGAACAACCATCTCAACACAAAGCGTTTTCATTTAGCGTTAGCACAAACCACAGGGACAAAAAGCTTTAAAAGCCAGAGAGACCTTGAAATTGTAAGCTTTTATCTCATTCTTCATCACAAGCTAAGAGAAATATGCTTCACTCTTCAAAAACCAGAAATATCCCCAAAAAAACAAAAAAAAGAATACAAAGGTATTCACTCCATCAAAGAAGGAAGACAAGTACCCTGAAAGTTTGCCTTCACCTTATTCAGAAGTTAGACATGTGCAAAAGTACACACAGATCATATCCCAGAAAGTCTTCAATGTGGGCTAGTCTCAAATCCCATAATAGAAACCTTCCCATTAATTGTCATCAGCACTTGTTGAAGGGTTGATTCCTACACACATCTATTACAGTGTATACAATAATGTAGCATAATCAAAGAGATAGAGGGATTTCACTTATGTATCTGAATCAGTGTTATGAAATAACTCTGCAAAATGCATGGGAGAGCTATCTCTTAAATCAACTGAAGATTTCTCTAGGATACAAGGGTTAAGTGCTCTGTTTTTAAAAACATACAATGTACTCTTATACAGTAGACATATGAATCAGACTTTTCTTTAAAACATATTGGTTGAGAGCAATCTCATTAAGCGCAAGCACCAAAAAAGTAGATGTCCATATCTCGGATAGATTCCTTTTTGTAGGCAGCGCAAAGAAATATGTTCCTTTGGGATACAATTCTTCTGACCTATTTTAGGTTTCTGCTTTAGGATGAGATGAATCATCTTTTAAACTGTTTTCCCCCCCCCAGGAACTACAATGTGAACCTGGGGAAACTCGTTTAGATGGAGACATGAGTAACACAGATACCTGCATTTAGTGAGATGGACTTCTGTATGTGGTTTTGTTGCATACTGCATCAGAACTACCCTATAGTCTCTTCAGTCTTCTTTTTTTTTTTTTCCTGCTAAGTAGATGACTGAGAAAACACTTTTCTCTCTGTTGATCTTCTTAGGGCTTCCCTTACTTCCTTGTTCCTCAGGCTGTAGATGAGGGGGTTTAGCATGGGAAAGACAACAGTGTAAAATACAGCAATCACTTTATCTGTGTCCAGCGAGTAGCTGGAGTGG